GGGGGGGGGGGGGGGGGGGGGGGAAGGGGGGGGGGGGGGACTGCCTTTGCGTGTGATCTACGTGTCTGGTAGACACGTGTTAAGAATAACTTCATTTTTTTTTTTTGTGGCTACCTTGAAGGTTTTCCGTACACGCAAAAGTTGCCTACCCGGGCGAGTCTTGGGCGTCGGGGCCGTCGTTACTCCGCTCGGGTCCTGTATGCCATCCCGAAAGCCATGCTGCTGCCATTGCGTCTGAAGGTCCTTTTATTTGGACGCGGCGGTCGCATGTGTATAGATATATATTGGCATGACCACGTTCGGTTCGTGATTTGCCCATTTAACGCCTCTCCTTGGCCCGTGAAGCGTCATCGCCGCCACGCCTCGCGTTCATCGGATGCCACCTTTGCGTGTGATTCGACGAGGTGGGGTGTTGTGATGCAGACGCCGCCCGCATCGACTGTCGGCAAAAGGCCCCGCATTTTGTCTGCCATGACCACGTGGTCGTGGCTGATCGTGACGTCGTCGTGTCTGCGTTCCGCTGCTCGACATCCCCGATCAAGCTATCGTTCGCACACCAAGTTGTCATTTATTCCAGGTACTGAAGTACATGTTTATTTTTGACTCACGTGTGGAGTGAAAACCTTTTTCGTGTGTGCACCAGGGGCTGGAGAGCGACCGCAGGAACGCCATCGCTCTCGAGGACGAGGTTGCCACGCTCAAGTCAACCCTAAAGGTACAGTATCGCTTGCCTCTATTCGTAGCACCCGTCGGCATTCGTCGAAACCAACAGCGCGGTGGTTGTTAAGCGTTGAAAAAAAGTTTGTTTGTTTCGCTCCTTGAAACCAATAGCGCGTTGTTATTATCTGTTGGTTATTATGTCTGTTGCTTCCTCTACTTGAAGAAACCAACAGCGCGTTGTTGTTTTTGTCGTTTTTTTTTCTTTGTGCTTCCTCTCCTTGAAACATCAAACGCGTCGGTTGTTGTCAGTTGTCATTTTTTCTCTGTTATATGCTTTCTCTCCTTGAAACCGAAAGCGCGTTGTTGCCGTTGTTGTTGTCTGTCTGATGCTTCCTCTCCTGGGAACCAACAAACAGCGCGCCGAGGACCGCCTCGCTTCCGCCGTGAAAGCCGAGACTGACAACGCCGCCATCAAAGACGAGAAGGAGGAGTGGTCCCTCGTATTCTCCCGGGCTCTCAACGAGGAGCAGAAGGCGGCGAGCCTGAGGCGTATCATAGGCCGGGAGCCCGCGGAGGCGGGGGCCGGCGAAGAGGAAGGGAAGGAAGGGGGGGGCGGGGCTAGGCCCACCCCGTTGGTGGCGCTTCGGTTGCTCCGGGAGGCTCAAGAGGAACGGTCGCTCGCGGTCAAGGTGGGCGTTTTTAATAATCTGGTCGTTGTTGATGTTGTTGTTGTTGATGTTGCAGTTGTTGTTGTTGTTGTTGGTAGTGGTAGTGGTGGTGGTGGCGATGGTGCGTTTGTCGCCTGAAAATTGGTCTTCCCGTAGTGGATGCACGTTGTTCCAACAATACTGCGACGCATATTGGAGAGTTCAGCATGGTTGTGTATGTCGTTGGTGTTTCCTCTCCCTCGTTAGTTTTTCTCCTTTCTTCCTCTCTACTTTATGCCCCCACCCTCCTGGTCACTGTACTTCATTCTCGTATCCTTTTTTTGTTACGTTACGCTATTCGTCGGACGTTCATCGTGATCATCAGGAGCTGACAGCGCTGAGGCTACGCAACGAGCACAATCACACGCGTCTGGCAAAGGTCGAGCAGGAGTTGAAGAACGAGAAAGGTGATGTTGTAGTCACAGCAGTGTTGAGCGTCTAAAATGGTCCCCCTCACCTCTCGTTGCACGTGAAGATTATTGCTTTTGGCGCAACTATTGGTCGGCCGGCCGCCCAGAAGTTTGAGGTCCCATCTCCCTCTCTCTGTGTCTCCCTCCCTCGGCCTCTCTCTCGCTCTCTCTCTGTCTCTTGTAACAATGAATATTGGCTTTGTGTTGGAGCAAGCGCGCTTAGGACGCTCACCTGCCCGGTTGAAAATGGGAACGTTTTCCTGTTTTTCTTGATTGAGCGTGCCGCATGCGAAGGTGTTTGTTGTTGCGGTTTTGAGTGGGGCAATCGGGTGTTTGGGATATGTAGGCGGACCCCACCAATCAAGGCGGGATGATCGTCGTGCATGCGGGTTGACGCACCAGTTCCCTGCCATGAAGTTTGTGTGCGTGTTGGTTGTTGACATCGTTGTCGTGTTGTGTGTATTGATTCAACCTTTTTGCCTTTCTCTCTCGCCCTCCCCCTCCTTCTCTCTCTCGCCGTCCCTCCTCTACCTGTTGCTCTCCCTCTCTCTTCCCCCTTCTCTCTTCCCCGTTCTGTCTGTCTGTCTGTCTGTCTCTCTCTCTCTCTCTCTCTCTCTTCCCCCACTTCTCTCTCTCTTTGCTATCACCTCCTCCCTCTCTCTGTCTGTCGGCCTCTGCCGTTCTCTCTCCACCCCCTCCTCCGCCTCTCTATTTTGCCCATCCGCTTCCGACGGCGGTGGCGGACCGTGTTACTATTTGGAATGGGCTTCAATGGAATGGAACGAAATGTGTTGGAACGAAAACGAAACGGCATGGACTTCCAATGGAACGAAAACGGAATGGAATGGGATTTGAATGTGGGATGGAACGAACACGAAACGGCTTTGGAAATCAGAGCGCGGCGAGTCCGTCCACGCGCGTGCGGAAGAGATGGAGTTGGAGCTGGACAAGCTGGAGAGGCGTTGCCGCTCGTCGGAGAAGGAGGTCGAGGCCCAAAAGGAGCTCATCAACGTGAGGAAAGAATAAAGAGAAATGTGCCCCTTCCAAGGAAAGAAGAAAACGATCTCCTCGAGGCCCGAAAGAAGCTCATCAACGCCGGGAGAGAAAAAAGAAAACGATGACACAAAAGAAAATCCCTGAAATAAGGACAAAATACGACCCCCTTGATGCCCAGAGGGAGCTCGAATCAATGTGAGGAAAGAGAAAAAAAGAATGCTTCTCATAAGGAAAGAAGAAACCGATACCATAACGGAAGGGTCAGAGAAAAACAACCGCCATTTTAGGGCAGAAGACAACGATCTCACTGAGGAACGATCCCCATAAGGAAAGAAGATAACTATCGCAAAAAGTAAACAAGAGAACGGCCGCCAAAAGCAAAGAAGAGAACGATCCCTGTTAGGAAACAAAATAAAGATTCCTATTGGAAAAGAAAATAACGATCCCGTTAAGGAAAGAAGAGAACGATCCCCATGAGGAAATAAAATAATGAATTCTATTAGGAAAGAAAAAGCGATTCTGTTCAAGAAAGAAGAAAACGTCCCCCCCACAAGGAATACGCTAGACTTTTCAGAAAAATGTGTGTTCGTTTACACTCTTTGACGGGTGTTGATGAACAGGGATGGTGATTGTAAGGGGTAGGATTTCCATCCCAGGCGTGTTGATCGGCTTCAGTCGGCCTTCCGCAGGGAAACGAACCGGGAAATAGCACGGTGTGTTGGTGCACGATCTGCGCGTTCGGCAGTCTTGTTTTGTGGCTATATGGCACGCTCTTTCCTATGACGTGTCTATCAGCCCGCGGCTGGCATATAGGTGCCACATTTTGTGTTCCAGCTGAAGGTGTGACCCGCTCGCTTTTACTTTGCCAATTCCACGATCCTAGTCCTGGATGCGCCTCCTCTCCTCTGGTGCGGATGTATCTAGAAATGTGTCATAATACCACAACACCATTGATTTTGGACACGCACATTCTGAGCAAACTGCCCGGCAGAAATTCCTCTGCTGCAAGCTACAGGGAAGACTTACCGCAATGTTAATGCGCGCAACAGCTGGGAGCTGCTTTATTTTGCTGATCCAACCCATTCCACTGCTATTTTCGCCTCCTCCCCCCGCGTACTCCCACTGCTGTACCTTCTCCCTTTTTTGCGATCCATGGGCATCCCTCTTGCATCTCATGTCTGTCTGTATTTTTCCCGCTGTCACTGCTGTGTCTGGCATCTGTCTCATGTCTGTCTTGTCTTGCCTGTGTTGTTCCACTCTCGCCGTGTCTGGCATATATCTCATGTCTGTCTGTATTTTTCCCGCTGTCACTGTGTCTGGCATCTGTCTCATGTCTGTCTTGTCTTGCCTGTGTTGTTCCACTCTCGCCGTGTCGGGCATCTATCTCATGTCTGCCTGTATTTATCCCTTGTCACTGCTCTGTCTGGCACTTATCTCATGTGTTTTCCCGCTGTCATCGTGTCTTGGTACCCGGTGTATTTTTGTTATCATTTTGCGATGACGGGCGCCGCGAAAAAAAAAAAGTCGTACGAGAGAGACACCTTCCGCAAGCCGGCGGGCGAGACCTGGCTCTCCGACCACGCCGCCCTCGAGTCGGCGCTGGCCGCGGCCAAGGAAGAGGCCGAGAGCCTCAGGAGGGCGGCGGAGGGGCAGGTTTCCGCGCTGGAGGCGGGGCGTCTCAGGGGGCGCGCGGCCAAGGCGGAGGCGGCCCTGGGGGAGGCGATCGCCGGACGGTTAGAATTTGAACCTTTTTTTTGTCTGTTGCGGTCTGTTTTAGTTGTTGTTGGTTTTGATCGTGGTAGTCTTGGTGGGGGTTTGGGTGGTGGCGGCACGGTCGCGGAAAGGTTATGGGAAACGCTTCATCTGTTCAAGGTGTGTGGTTGGTGTGAGGCTGTCGGTGTCTTCATTCCATTCTGGTCTGGTGCGTCTGGTGATCGCGGGGTAGTTTTGAGAGACGCGAAGTGACGGCAACGAGAATCAAAGGACTCGCTCAAGGAAGAAAGTGGCTTGCCTTTCCTTTTGTTTCGAGATCAACTCTTTTATCATCAACAGCCGGGATAGATGGTGATTGTCATGGCGGTCGAGTTCCCCTCTCGCCAATACTGTGCTGTAGACGTGTGCTTCATCCGCTTTTCCTCGTTGTCGAGGGAAACTTCCCGTGAGGGCAGCGAGATTTCAATGAGCACCCACTGCGGTGTTCCGGGTTTGGTGATAAGGAGGGGTCGCCCGCAATCGGCAAGAGGTTGACTGCTTTGTTGGCCTCATCACTATCTATGGCGGAAGAAGAACGCAATGTGCAACATGTGCCTGCCACGTTTTTTCCGCCGATGATGGCATGAGCAGGGACCAAGCGATTAAAGCTGCCGAGCGGTATGGTGACGCGCTCGCCATGGCTGAAAAGGAGGCTGCGAGTGGTACCGGCGGGCAGAAGGGGAAGGTGATGGTAAAGGGGATAGAGACACAGGGGGGCGTACTCATGTAGAGGCATGCCGTATTCGGAAGACCATTGCCGCATAGCAGTGTACCCGTCTGACGCACGGACGTTGTGCGCAGTACTCTGTTGATAGTGTCCTGACGTCGTGCTTCTCGAAACCTCGTATTTTTTGTTTTGTTTTTTTCTTTGTGAATGCTTGCGTTTTTCGTTCAATTCGTGTGTCCGTTTTCGTTTTGATTCCTCGTTTCATGTCCCCCCCGCATTCCGTCCCGGCATTGTAGTGATGCGAGATCTCAATGGTCTAACGACCACGGCATGCGTTTACCTGAGTACACCCCCCCTCTACCCCCGCGAACGCGTTGGGGTCCCCCATTGTTGGATGACGGTTTCGCAAAACGCAAGGTGCTGCACTTTAAGGACAACCCAGCAGCCCGGGCGGCCGAAGCGGCCAAGAGAGAGACCAAAAAGAAGCTTGAAGCTCTCACGGAGGAGAACAAGCGCCTCGTGCAACAGGTCTGTCGAGGAAAAGCAGTGGTTATCGCCGTGTCCTTGTTGCTGTTGATGTTGGTCTATGCAGCATGTATGTTGGTTCGAACGTTTCGCGACGCAGATTGCCCTAGACTATGATAAAGGTCGGAAAAAAAAGGTTTGGGCGAGGAAGATGAAAGTGGTCGCGAACCACTAAGGCGGATGTGACGCACTCCAAAGTGTATTACATCGTACCTTGTGCGAACTTTACCTAACTCCCCCCCGCCCCCGATCCGTGGGGCGCTTGAGATCGACATGTAGGAAAAGGAACAACAATGACGTTGCGGCTCAAACTTTTCTTGAGAATAAGAAGCCAGCGAGATGAGGAGCATCCACACACCCCCAAAATAAACAGCCAACCACATTGGTTTATTTCAAAAGTGGATATTGTCTTATCAAAGCTTGAGGCGCTCCTTCCCCGTCCCAACCAACACCCGACGCAAATGATAGCTGGAGTCGGTGGGGGCGGGAGGGATGGACGCATCATCCTCTGATGGGGTTTCGATCCTAGGAGGGGGCTCCTCCGGGATGAGGGGAGCGGACACCCCGGACGCGAAAAAGTTCAGCGTCCGACTGAAGGAGATGTACAAGGAGAGGATCAACTTCTACCGACAGATGGTGTACCTCCTCACCGGGTGAGAGCGAGAGAGACGGGGGAGGGGGGGGGTGTACTCATAGTCGTGCATGCCGTAGTCGTTAGACCATTGACCTCGCATCCCTACAAAGCCGGGACGGAACACGCCGGGTTCTCACCGGACCAGGCTCTCACATCACCAAGCGCGAAGCGCCGTGAGGTATTTGGCGAGTCGCATGAAGGGTGAGCTGCATCCTGCTAAGGGTGTTCGGCATCTTGTGCTTACTTCCTTGCGTACGGATGACAGCTACGTATGACTTAACTTATTTTCTGGTGCTTTCACTTCCAGAGACAGTTGCAAGCACTGTGTAACTGCCTCGAGGATGCTTGACCAATTTAACACAACGTGGTGCGATCATCCCCCTTGAGCGGAGTGAGGATTCTCCACCCCGCACAACATGATCTACTCGACCACCATTATGGTTACCGCCAAAAAAAAAAACAGAGGTAAAAAAAAAACGTTAACCTGGTTGCCGAGTTCACGAAGTGAATTGGCTTGTTTTACAACGTCGTTGCCAAGCGACGAAATCCCAATCCCGATGGCAAACACCGGGGGGGGCGGCTTGTTTTACAACGTCGTTGCCAAGCGACGAAAACCGGGCGAGGGGGGGGGGGGGGGGGGGGGGGGGC